ACCTCTCTGCCGATGCCCCCCAATCCAGACCCCGCAGTCCCTGCTACTCCCACTCCCCGCTCTGCCGGTGCCCCCCACTCCCGACCCGCAGTCCCTGCTACCCACCCCACCTCTCTGCCGATGCCCCCCAATCCAGACCCGCAGTCCCTGCTACTCCCACCCCCCGCTCTGCCGGTGCCCCCCACTCCCGACCCGCAGTCCCTGCTACCCCCCGCTCTGCCGATGCCCCTCACTGCCGACCCGGGATCGCTCGGGCTGTTCCTCACAGGTGGTGGGTGGGGGAGGGGTCTCTGTGTCCGCGGGATGCGGGGGGGATGGGCCCCCTGGGCCCCGCCTGTCCCGGGGGGTGGGTCAGAGATGGCGGGTAAAGTCCAGTGAAATATTTCACCAATTCCAGACATGGCAGGAATCGGGGGCGGGGGGGGAGGACAGTTGGGCATAACCTGGCCCCGACCCCCCCGGTACCCCCTCTCCATCTGTCCCCACAGGGGGCACCCTCGCAAACATCCCCCCCCCATGCAGGGTCTATGGCCCCGCCCCGTGGGGCACAGAGCACGTCCCCGGCAGCGGGGGGGGGGGGAGGGGGATTCCCCCGCTAGGGGGCGCCACCTCTGGAAGGGGGGTCAGGACTGGCCTGCGGGGGGTGGACACGGGGCCCTTCCCCTCGGGGGGGGGCATCTCAGATCCAGCCCCCCTGGGCCCCCAGAGCCCTCACAGCCCCCAGGCTAGAGAACGGGGGGGTCCGGGGCGCCCCCCCTCACAGTCCCCGAGAACCACCCCTGCCCCCCAGCGCCCCGCCCCCCAGGGCGCCTCCCGAACCCCCCCAGCCGCCTCCCGGCCACCTTCCGGGAGGGGGCGCGACGCGAGTCCGGGGTATTCCCACCGGAAACGCCACTTCCGCTCCGCGCCCCTCCCCCCGGGGCGGGTCTCACCCGCCGCTCGCTCCGCACCGGACCGGACCGGGACCGGTCAGGCCGCTCCGCTGCGCTCGGCTCCGGCGGCGGGACCAGGCCGGGGGGGGCGGGAGCAGGAAGCCGCTGCCTTTTTCCGGGGCTCCCCCCCCCGGCTCCGTGCAGCGCTTCCTGCCCCGGCCACGAGAGACCGGGACCCCCCCACCGCCCCCCCTGCACCGCCCCCAACATCCCACACTGCGCCCCAGCTCCCCCCAACATCCCCCAGCCCCCCTGCGCCCCCTGCACCGCCCCCAACGTCCCACACTGCGCCCCTTGCACCCCCAGTCCCCTTGCACCCCAGCTCCCCCCTGCGCCCCCAGCTCCCTCTCTGAGTGCTCCCCACAGCTTCCCGCACCGCCCCCAGTCCCCCCACTGCGCCCCCAGCCGCCCGGCACCGCCCCCAATATCCCCCACCCCCCCCGCACCACGCTCTGACTGCACCCCCCCAGTTCCCCACTGCTCCCCGCCCCGCC